AACAGGTGGAGAGAGAAGGGAGGGGTGGCCAGACCATTGGGCAAGTCCCCTTTTGGGAATGAGGGTGGATTACACAAGCAAAAGGTAGGAGATTTCATTAGGATATCTGAATGTCCATAGGTCAGTCAGGGAAGGGGAACTTGTGGCAGGGGCCAGACCTATCCCACTATTGCGCATGGCTACCTGGGTGGGGTGCCCACATCCTGCTTGGGAGGATGTTGAGACAGCAAGATAATATAAAGCTTTAGAATTTAGAATACATAAGGCAAGTATAGTCTTTGGGGGTATTGACTATGTCATAATGTGCTTTACACATAGAACTTATTCAGTCAATGTAGAAGGAGCTTGTTTCTTTGCTTTTTATTTTGCTTCACCTTGTAGCAAGTTAATTTTAGAAACCTTTGTTTCAAAAATCAGCACACTGTCAACTTAAATTAATTGGCTGCAATTAGTATAAATAATAGTCTCTAAAGTTGATTCCTTGGTTGAAAAATTTAGTTTTCATGCTTTTATTAATAAAAATGATGACAAATTTTACTCTGTAGTGCCTTCTATTACTTCCCCGCAAATATCCTTCTGCAAATTATAAATCATTTTTTATAAAAATGCAGTATTTTTTATTTGCTTGTTTATCTATCTATCCATCTATTGAGAGGGGGAGGGAGGAAGGAGGAGGAGAAAAACTTAGATGTGTGAGAGATACATCTAAGATAGATCAGCTGCCTCTTGCATGCCCCCAACTGGAGACCTGGCTCATAACCCAGGCATAGGCCCTGACCAGGAATGGAACCAGTGACCTTTCAGTTCGCAGGCTGGCACTCAATCCACTGAGCCAAGGTTGAAGGCGCACTTTTTAAAAACAATGTTTTAAACCTGCAGCTTCCCAGTCATTTTACTGTTTTATTATTGATGTTCTTGAAGTTGTTATTTGTTGCTACTGTATCAGCATGATAAAAATAGTGTTCTACTGAAATATCTTACCATCTCCATGTTCTGTGACATCACTACAGCAGCTTGAAACTGACCACGATGGGAGTATTTACACCAGGGACATTGACAAAAGATTACAAACCTAGACTTGACAATGTAGTATTGAATGTTTAGATTTAAAGAAAGTGGTGGATATGTTAACAATATAGGTTAAACTTATAAAAATGGTACAGGTGGCCTTAGGTTGTACATTAATATAAACATTGAGAAAAACAATATTCCTTCCAGTACTCAAAAATAACTGTTCTCTATGGCAAAGAAGTCACTCAGGTCACTGGGAAATGAGTGAAATTCCAGCATGTCTTTGTTGCTGCACTGTGTTCCTACTGGTTAAAAGAATAAATTCATAAAAAGAAAATAGGCAGCAATATTCAAGCAGATGTGTTATCAAAAGAAATACAGGGTAAATAAATGCATTTTAAAAAGGTAACCATTATAAATTCTTAGGAAAATGGAATCAAATCCAAAGCAAGTTATCACTACACTGACTTCCAGTACTAATATTTAAAAAGATTAACCACAGCAAGTACTGGCAGGGTTGCAGAAGAAATGGAATTTTCATATGCTGTGGGTAATGGGAAAGCAAAGGAAACCATTTTAGATCATAGTTTTTCATTTCTTAAAATGCAAAACATTCACTGACATGGTACAGTATGAGAAATAAAACATATGCATATAAAGAACTGAATGCAAATGTTCATAGCAGCTTTATTTGTAATACCCAAAACACAATAGAAATAACCCAAACCACAAATGGATAAACAAAGTGTTACCTATATAACACAAAACTACTCACTAATAAAAGAATTAACTATTCACATAAGCATTATTTTTGAATCTCAAAATAATTGTGCAGCACAGAAATACTTATTAAAGAGTATACACCTTATGGTGCCTATAAAATTATAGAACATACAAACTAATCTATTGTAAAGGAAGATAAATCAGCAACTACCTGGAGCACTAAGGAAGACAGGGAGAGAGACTATAAAAGAGCAGGAGGTAAATTAAATATAGGGTGGGACAAAAGTAAGTTTACAGTTGTCTGAATAAACAATATAATAATAAATAATACAAGAATTAACTCGGTGTTTTGCATACTAACAACTGTAAACCTACTTTTGCTAAACCTGTATGAGTTCTTTTCAACTGTGACAGTTTCACAGCTTTATCCTTATGTCAAAGCTCACTAAATAGTACACATTAGATAAGTGTACTCTTGTCGCATGTCAATTATATATATGCCTAAATTAAATTTAAAAAGTGGTTCAAAATAAAAACCTGGATATCCCTCTTTTCTTAGAAAATTAGGTTGTAAAAAAAATCAGGTTTTCAACTGTACATAAACTCTACCTCCTTTCTTCTCATACCCTATGGGGGCAGCCTTGCTTCAGTGGCAGCAAATATTGGGAAGCAGCCCCAACAGAGATGCTCAGTTGGGCATCATTCTGCAAAGTGAAAGGTCACCAGTTTGATTCCTGGTCAGGGCACATGTCTGTGTTGTTGGTATGGTCCCCCGTTGGGGGAGCACACAGAAGGCAACCAATTGTGTTTCTCTCTCACATTGATGTTTCTCAACCTTTCTTTCTCCCTCCCTTCCCCTCTCTCTAAAAATAAGTACATATAGTCTTTAAAAAAAATACTAGCAAGTAGTGAAGACTATTGCATTCTGAATCAAAAGCAATGCTGGCTGAGTTACAAAAGGACACATCCTAGGACTTACTACAGAGTCACTCTTCTCTCTAGCTTTGTTCTCTTGCCTAAAGAGCAATAGCCCTAAGATGAACACCCCAGAGAGGCTAGGGGAAGGCCACAAACTGTTAAATTTATCTTCTCTGCCAATGATCTCAGCTAGAGGAAACTGTTATGGAGGTCCTGAGAATGTCTGTACACACAGATCACACAAGCCATAGTCCCTAAAATATTTGTGAACATTCAGAAGAGGCACCTTCCATCTAATTTCCTGTAGTCTATTCCACTCCCTATTAATAGTGTTTGTCTCAAATGTGGTTGCACATAACCCAGAGTCTTAAAACAAATGACACCAACTTATCAAATTTTGCACATCATGGCACATGGCTCCTTTGCACAACCTGTGGAGGAGATCCTTCAACATTGCTGGGAATTGTGTAATATGTGTAAACAAAGCAATAAAATCCATTTTGTTCACAGAAGCACAACAAAAGCGTTCGCCTTAGGGTGACCTTTGACCTCTCCAAGAATTACAGCACCAGGCTGCAAATTAAGACCACAAAGTCATGCATTATTTTTCTTCTAAGGCCTTGGGTAGAATTACAAAACCAACTTATATTGAACAAAGAATGATTTCTGCCATCACACCTTACCTTCCGAAGCACAGGAAGTCTGGGATCCCCACAATACCTATTCACTTCTACATGCTGACAGACCACAATTCTCCTTTAAAATCATCCCACCAAGTAAAACCACCAACATTAAATGTACAAAAGCAAAAAAAGATGCTTTACCAAAAAAATCATAATCAAAAGCAGTGTACAGCAGGCAGTTTACAGGTTGGTGAATGAGAGCTTAGAAATATTTATCACAGCATAATGTGAGAACAACAATGTCCTTGAAAGAGGAAGTCCTTCTTGGCTAAGGATGGGTCCCCTGGACCGTATCAGTCAGTTCCAGTCCCTAGTCAGACAGAAAGGAACAAGGATAACACCAAAAGCTTGGAGTATTCATAATTTCCTCAAGCAAATGAGAACACGTGGGTCAGTTTACCTGAACATGTTGTAGTTGTGACTGACACACCCTGTGCAGGTGAGCCAGGATATAGAAATGAAATGGTTTTAGTCACAAAAACTGGCACTGACATTAATCTGGTAATAGCACAGTTCAGGTTAGAAAGTGCAGTGCAACTTCTTGAAGCCTCACTTCTTCCTGGAACTTACCAGAAATCTAACACGGTGTACATTCCACTACAAGAAATTTAAATTTAGGTAATTGGTTCTAAAGAGTCCCTTCCAGTGTTGTTATAGAGAGGAAATAAAACATTCCAAGCACATTTAAGGCTTTTTTTCATTGGGAACTCTCCAGTGTACAAGGAAGTGAGATTTATGAGTGAACTTAATGGTGCTGAATAAGGTGGCAGCATTGTCTATAGGATTTTGCACATTCACTGCATGCCTGAGGTTTTTTTGTCAGTATGAATTCTCTGGTATTGCATAAGGGTAGATTTGCAACTAAAGCATTTTGCACAAAGACTGCACTCACATGGCTTTTCTCCAATGTGAACTCTCCAGTGATCAGTGAGGCTAGAGTTTCCCGATACATTTGCCACAATCACTACACCCATAAGGCATTTCTCTGGTGTGAACTTACCTATGTAAAATGAGGTTAAATATTTAAGGTGTTTTTGACATTTTTAAAAATATCTATTTGTTAAAGAGAAGGGAAGGGAGGGAGAGATAAAGAAAAACGTCAATCGGTTATCTCTCATACGCTCCCAACCAGGGACCTGGCCTGCAATCCAGGCATGTGCCCTGACTGGGAATCAATGCAGCAACCGTTTGGTTTGTGGTACCCACTGAGCCACACCAGTCAGGGCAGGGTTTTGTTTTTTTAATTTGCTGCACTTATAAGCTTTTCTCCAGTCTGAAGTTTGTGGTGCCAAAAAAGGCTACAGTTGTTTCTAAAGGACTTCCTTCACACAGTACATTTGTAAGACTTTTCACTAGTGTGAACTCTCGTGTTCAATAAAGGTAGAGGTTTGGCTGAAGGACTTTCCACATTTATTACACTCATACAGATTTTCTCCAGGGTGAACTCTCTGGTGATCCATGAGGCTAGAGGAATGCTAAAAGACTTCCCACATATATCACACTTATAAAGCTTCTCTCCAGAATAAACTCGATTTTGTGAATGACTTGGGAGGTTGTCGAAAGGATTTGCCAGTCATTATAGTCATAAGGCATTTCTCCGGTATGATCTTTCTTAATGTCAAATGAGGTTACATTTTTGTCCAAAGGTTTTTCCAGTTGCTTCACTCATAAGGGTTTTTTTCCAGTGTGAATTCTGCAGTGTTGGAAAAGGTTAGAGTGTTGTCTAAAGGACTTCCCACATTCACTACATTCATAAGGCTTTTCTCCAGAATGAACTTGACAGTGTTGAATAAGATGGCTGTGTCGTCTAAAGGATTTCCCAATTTCACTACACTCATACGGCTTTTTTCCAGTATGGACTCTCTGGTGCTGAATGAGGGCAGAGCTTTGGCTGAAGGACTTTCCACAATCAATTCACTCATACATTTTTTTTCCCAGTGTGAATTCTCTGGTGATTATTGAGTACGTATTTGTAGCTAAACCACTTCCCACAATCACTACACTCATATGGCTTTTCTCCAGTGTGAACTCTCTGGTGTTGAATGAGGCCAGAACTGTGGCGGAAGAACTTTCCACAATCATTACACTCATATGGCTTTTCTCCAGTGTGAACTCTCTGGTGTTGAATGAGCGAAGAGCTTGTGCTGAAGGACTTCCCGCAATCACTACACTGATAGGGCTTTTCTCCAGTGTGAACTCTCTGGTGCCGAAGGAGGTGAGATTTGTGGCTAAAAGATTTCCCACACTCACTACACTCATAAGGTCTTTCTCCACTGTGAACTTTCTGGTGTTGAATGAGGTTAGATGTATAGCTAAAGTATTTCCCACATTCACCACACTCATAAGGCTTTTCTCCAGAATGAACTCGACAGTGCTGAATAAGTTGGCTGTGTCGTCTAAAGGATTTCCCACATTCACTACACTCATACGGCTTTTTTCCAGTATGGACTCTCTGGTGCTGAATGAGGGCAGAGCTTTGGCTGAAGGACTTTCCACAATCAATGCACTCATACGGTTTTTCTCCAGTGTGAATTCTTTGGTGGTTATTAAGCACGTATTTGTAGCTAAACCATTTCCCACAATCACTACACTCATATGGCTTTTTGCCAGTATGGACTCTCTGGTGTTGAATGAGGCCAGAACTGTGGCGGAAGAACTTTCCACAATCACTACACTCATATGGCTTTTCTCCAGTGTGAATTCTCTGGTGTTGAATGAGTATATATTTGTAGCTAAAACATTTTCCACAATCACTGCACTCATACGGCTTTTCTCCACTGTGAATTTTCTGGTGTTGAATGAGTATATATTTGTAACTAAAGCATTTCCCACAATCACTACACTCATAAGGCTTTTCTCCAGTGTGAACTCTCTGATGTTGAATAAGGGCAGAGCTTTGGCTGAAAGACTTCCCACAATCACTACACTCATACGGCTTTTCACCAGTGTGAATTCTCTGATGTTGAATGAGATTAAATTTGTGACGAATGCATTTCCCACAAACACTGCACTCATTCAGCTTTTCACCAGTGTGGCTTCTCTGGTGTTCAATAAGCTTACAGCTTCGGCTAAAGAACTTTCCACAATCTCTACACTCATACGGCTTTTCACCAGTGTGAATTCTTTGATGTCGAATTAGGTTAAATTTGCGGCGAAAGCATTTCCCACAAATACTGCAATCATACTGCTTTTCTCCTGTGTGAATTCTGTAGTGTTGAATGAGGCTGGAGGTTTGTCTAAAGGGCTTCCCACAATAATTACACTCATATGGTTTCTCTCCAGTGTGAACCCTTTTGTGTTGAATGAGAGCAGAGCTTTCACTGAAGGACTTTCCACAATCACTGCACTGATAGGGCTTCTTACCAGTATGAATTTTCTGGTGTTTACTGAGATTAAATTTGTAGCTAAAGCATTTCTTACAAATACTACATTCATAAGGCTTTTCTCCAGTGTGAACTCTCTGATGTTGAATGAGGATATATTTGCAGCTGAAGCATTTCCCACAAACTCTGCACTCATATGGCTTTTCTCCAGTGTGAACACTTTGATGTTGAATAAAGGAAAATTTGCGGTTAAAGCATCTCCCACAAACACTGCACTCATACCGCTTTTCTCCCGCATGAACTCTCCTATGTCGAATGAGGTAAAAGATTTGTCTAAAGGCTTTCCCACATTTGCTACACTCATAAAGCCACTCTCCTGAGCAGACACCCTGACACTGAATGACATTGTGATTGTGGCTGGCAGCTTTTTCAGATTCACCCCACCGGTGATGACTTTTTCTATCGCGAAAAGCCTGCCATATCTCACAATTGGGTGGCTCTACACTATTAGGAGTGGTCTGGTGCTGGAGAAGGCCTGAAATGGCTGGAAAGTTTTCCTCAACCTCTCTACTGGTGAAAAGTGCCCCTGATACACAGCACCTGCACCTAGTTACAAACCAGGCCCTGTCCATATCTTCTTTCCAGAGATTCTCTCCACTGGCAGGCCTTGGTTGTTGGTGAAGGTCTGCAATGAAGCAGAAGCCTCTCACACACACGTCACTGAAGAATGCTTTCTGTTCAAGGTATGATGCTTGGAACTCAGTCAGGTGCAAGATAGTTTTCAAGACTGAGACACAGTGCTCACAGGGATGGATCTTCTGCAGTGCTGGAGTTGTTGTAGAAACCTTTACCTGTGACTCTCCTTCTATAGATACACTCTGCTCAGAAGGGACCTTCTCATCTCCCGTCTCATGCCAACAACCTGAAAGCAGAGAAATGCTGAGGAAATGGATCTTGACTTTGGTGGAAGGGGTAAGACCCATTTCAAAAGAATGTCAGAAATAATATGTTGGTTTCATGGGATTATTTGAAAATAAGGGACCTGGAGGCAGGCTACGTAAGGGTCTGTTATGTAGTACTGGGCCTCTAAAATCACATATTAGGGGACACCTCACCAAAAAAAAAAAAGACAGGTTACATGCACCACATGTAAGAGAGAGCCAGACCCAACTCATTCTTCTGCTAACTTCGTACAGAAGGGCTTGTGTGCTAGTGACATGGGCAAGCTGTGCAGAATGTTAGTTACATCTTTCTCCTAGTAAAATTCAAAAAATGAATAGCTGGTGTTTGAGGACTACTTAAGGATATATGCACACTTCATAACACATGCACAGGTCAATGTTTTAGAATACTTCAGAGGAGGCAGTGCAATAAAACAGTGACACACAGAAACCACAAAAGTGAAGGTAGTCAGGAGCCAGGAAGTCACATATTAAATGACAAGTCAACGAAGTATTAAGTATTGGAAACAAAAAGTAAAAATAAGCTGTGGCCAGTGGCACTTGAACCAAAACAACATAGGGGAGGTTGCTGGTATGATCTGAACACAGCCCTTATCTCATGCCCTCTCCCACTGCCAGTCACCAGGACCAGGCCTCCTTTGAGACCATCCTGTGCTGTCCACCCTGTGAAAAATACCAGTGTTTTTCCTGCACCTTCTATTGTGAAACTACTGAGAATCTGAATAATCCGAGTCTTAATAAAAGGCAACAGTGGTGATCAGCCAGCACTGGCCCAGAGCAAGCCAGCATACAACAGTATCCAGGGAAGACAATATTACAAAGAACAATTGAGGAGTATGTTACAAGAACACCCCACGGTTCATGTAAGTAATGACCATGACCTGGCACGGGCAGGCACAATGAACTGTTAGCTAGAGGAAGTGGGGAAGAGCTAGAGGCCATCATCTGGAGGGTTACCAAGCAAGGAAGAGGGCAAGCAAGGTGGGATCCATTAAGCTCTCTGCAAAATTTCTGATTCACAGACATTTCCAGCACCTTTTGAGACAATAGGTAAGAGGGATGCTTGCGGTGTCCATGGCCCAGGGCACACCACACAGCTCAGCACTGGCAGCCATAGCACAAATGACAAGAAAGTGGGGTAAATTAGCAGAGCAAATAGTTTCGCTGTGAAAAAGACAAAGCTACCTCTAAAGAAAATAGGCAAGGCAGCACATCTCCTCAGGATACTGGGCAGATGCAAAGGTCTTACCCACAGATGCTACAAGTGCAAAGATTTCCAGCATCACGTCATAGTACAGAAGCCTCTGGGCCTCATCAAGGAGCCCCCACTCCTCCTGGGAGAAGGCAATGGCCAAGTCTGCAAACGTTGTATCCTGTCAAAACGAGGACAGTTTATTCTATCATCAGTTTCTGTTCTAGGATTCCAAGTTAGTCATACCCCTCAACCCTCCACATCCACAGGGATTCTAATGAGACCTGGGTTAAATCATCTGCCTCCACTTCTCAAAATATTCTATATCCCCCATGACCAACCAACAGACACCCAACTTGACTCAAAGCTGCTCCACCTATACCTGACTCCTTTCCCATTTGTCCCATATCGAGAGAGAGAGAGAGAGAGAGAGAGAGAGAGAGAGAGAAAGAGAGAAAGAGAGAGAGAAAGAGAGAAAGAAAGAAAGAAAGAAAGAAAGAAAGAAAGAAAGAAAGAAAGAAAGAAAGAAAGAAAGAAAGAAAGAAAAAGCAAGCAAAACCAAAAACTCTCCAGTTTCCTGATTCAACTCAGCCTCTCCTGCAGGCTTTGGCCTCTTCTCCAATCTTTGCCTGGGAGACCTCCCAAATGTCATTTCACTTGTTGCCAAAAAGTGGAACCACTTCATATAAATTTCAACCTAAACTAAGGAACCTGGGCTTGGTGGCAGTTCAAGGTCCCCAGGCCCAACGACTGTTAAGAGTGGCACCAGTCTCAGGAGACCTTTATCTCACAGACCAGAAGAATGGGAGGCCCTGAAATAAGCTCCACAAACCAGGACCCTAAGCGATTCTGCAGATTTAGGAATCTGGAAAGAGAAAGGTCTGCTGAGAGCCAGGCTGCCACTGCCAGGACCCATGGGCGCAGGCCGCTAAGTGCTCTCGCCCAGCCTGGGACCAGGTGCCATCCGGGTGACTGCACTACCTCAGGGCCTCCATCCTCAGCACAGACTCTGCCAGTCACCTCACCTTTTACAGGATTCGTACCCAATTGCCGTTATCTCGTCTGGTCTCTCCTTCCTCTGAGCAGTGTTTGGAAAACATTACAACCCGATCTCAGCTAAAGTTCCTCTTTCAGTTACAACGTTCCACAGCCCCCGCGCCCAGAGAAAAGAAGTACAACTCCTCACGCACAACTTTGCCTCAGCTTCTCTGTCGCCTTTAGACACAAAACAGGGCCTGGTTGTCCCGATTCTCCCCGTTCGGCAACCCTGTGTGGTTTAGCCGCCCCTGTGTGTCTTTAAACGGAGGCCCCTCAGCCCGTCACCCTCCCCCACCCCGTCACACCGTGTCACCCAAGAGCGCCTCACGGTCCCAGATGCCGGGGCCTGGGCTGTAGGATGTGACAGGCGCCCTGCACCCGAGCTGAGCTGTAGTGTTCACTAGGTGGGCTGAGGGGGAAAGGCCGCGGGGGACACGCACTCACCTCAACCCTGCGCTTCATCGCGGCTGCCGCCAGCGGACTCTGGGCAGAGCAGAGGCTGCGATGCTCCGAGGCCCCGATCCGGCCAGTTGCCGATCTTCAAGCTTGGGAACGTGCCTCTGAGCAGCAAGTACCACTTCTCTGGTGCCTCTACGGTCGCCACCTCAAGCTCTGGAGCTTCTGACTTGAAAAACAGACCGGAGAGCTCAAAATGACCGCCACTAAGACGACGAAGGAAATCCCGCCCCAACCTGCTGCGCACGCACGAAAATGCCCCACCCCTGAGCGCTCAGGGGCTCAATCGCACCATCCTTGTTCGCATTGCCCTCTGGGTAATGTAGTTTCCTCAGCAGCACAGGGGCGTTAGCGGTCCAGACTCTGACCTTGGTGAATAAGGAGGTTGTGACTCCCCTAGTGGCGCTGGGATATGACAACTTTAGGATTCAGGGGCGGTTCCAGGTTTCTGAGGCGTGTGGCCTGCATTATTTGGTGATGTTCCTTCCAACTCCGTGTAACTCAGAATGCTCCGAGGCAAAAGGTATTATTCCTGTTATTCCTTAATACTACAAATCTAAGTGGACAGGTGTTTTAATTCAGACACAAAATGCATCCACTCTTACCTGGGCTGTGGTAAACATTTTCTGCTAATTCAAATACATGGAGTCAGAATAAGTAGACTGTGCAACTTTCTGTATGTTTAGTCTGAGCCATGACTTGGAAGATAAGGAGGGATTTAGTTTACCCTAGAGGAGGACAAGGAGTTACCTTTGCCTCTAGTTCCCACAGAGAACATCTCTCTTGTCTGTATCCTCAGTGACCGTGTCTGTTGAGCTCCAAAAGTCTAAATTCAGCTCCTATTCTGAAGAACTTAAACGGATCCTTATTCAAATTCTTAAGATCTTTAATAGGAGAAGCTTACGTACACTAGCAATGCAGCTTCTCCCAATGGTAGCTGGCTGGGAAGAATCCACACTGCTCCCAGTACAGGATTCCTTTCTATAGGGGTTCACAGTAAAACCATATTGTGGGTAGTCATGTAGACAACCACAAAGAACAATGCCTTCCTAAGTTAACAGATAATATCAGGCAGTTATCCCACTGTACACATTTATTAACCCTCCTCTTGGAAGCATGATGTTTATCTTTGGGTGCATTCCTGTTTTCTGGGTACTCAGCCAAGCCTGAGGTTACAGAAAGTTAAAACAGGGAGTCCAGCATCTTACAGACACCTTTGCTTCTGGAGCCACATTGCACCTCTAGGTGGGTTTCTGTACTTTATAGAGCAACATTCATTATCCATTAAGTATTTCCAACTCAATATTCTAAGTTATATTCAATTCTTGTAAATATCTGACATATTTCTCAAACTGAGAAACTTATCAAGTTCCATTTGGGTATGGGATAGTAACTACAGTGCTCTCAAGCAGGGCACATGTGGAAACGGGGCATCTGAACACCATCATCTCATTTTGTTTTGATGAGAAGTGATTATCATTACTCTGGTGATTGCTGGGAATATTGTGCATGAGGAATTCATGTGTCAGGGGGAAAAAAAGGTATAAAATGCAATTTACAGAAAGATATTAATAACAATTATGTAATTAAAAGACAGTGGTAGAAATATCTCTGGGAAAATATCAGTGGAGGGGGAAAAAGAGTTAAGACCTCAGATAATATTTATCAAGAGACACTAAAGTCTGACTTAGGCTGAGGCCAATCTTGGTATTGTGATTCTTTTTAATTGGTTTCATTTTAGCAAATTTATAGGGTTTTCTCATTGAAGTTTTAAGTTACAATTTTATGACTAATATGAAACTCTTCTAGTCTAATTATTATGTGTCCTTTAACGAAGACTCTGCTCAAATATGTTGCCTATTTAATGTGTTGCCAATTTGCTGTTTCTTATTGATTTCTGTGATTTATATAAAAGTTTTTTAGTCAGATGCAATTTCTCTTCTATAATTCTGTGTTGGCAATTTTTAATATTTTAGGTTATGTAATATGTGTAAATATTATGCAATTTCTGTTTTTAGAGGTGTCTTTACTAGTAATTAGCAATTCCTCAATACTGCATTGTTTTGGTTATAGTTTTTATTAAAATTTCTCTATACAAATTGTTATGTAATTCCTTTCTCCTGATTGAACCCTAAGTGATAGTGAGTTGGTTCTGGCAATAGTCCTAGGCGATAAACCCATAAGAATGAAATTTGGAGATTGGTTTGGCCATACCCTTGGGCTTGAATGAAGTGCTCAGCATCCAGCCCATGAGAAATCAGATGCTACTGACTCATGGCACACAATGGTATCATAATTAATGTTACTTGAGACTGACTTTGATAAAGTGGCAAGTATCACACATCTTGAGACCAGTGAGGTGAGCAATGAGCATTAAGGCAGTGAGAATGACTACAAAGACTGTGGTTAGGAAAGAATACTTTTGAGTTCATGTTATTGCTTACAAAAAGAAAATGGTAAACTCAAGTCTCCGTATGAGAAAGTTCCATGATAGCCCGAAAAGAAGCTCTGATTTCTGTAGCTACAAGGTATATATTGCTGAAAAATCAAAACATGTATTCTTTTTATTATAATAAAAGTAGAATACAGTATCACAATATTTCTCATGTAAAACTTAAGGCGCTGATACATAAAGCAAAATTCAGAATCTTAGAATGGGGACATACGGTTAAATGAAGAAGAAAATAATCTGGAACTCTAAAGTGACTGAGTCTCTTTTGCCAAGTGTCTGGTCTTCCTCTGAATATCACCTGGGGTAGCCACTTGTAAAAAAAAAATGCCAATTCACCCTGACCTGTGTGGCTCAGTTTGTTGGACATTGTCCTGCAAAACAAAACGTCGCTGGTTCGGTTCCCAGTTCAATTCACAGTCAGAACACATGCCTAGGTTGTAGGTTCAGTCTTTGGTCGGAGTGGGTAGGAGAGGCAACTGATGGATGTTTCTCTCTCACAAGGATGTTTCCCTCTATCTTTCTCCCTCCCTTTCCCTCTCTCTAAAAATAAATAAATAAAATTTTATTGGAAGAGATGGCAATTCTTCTGAAGACTTACCACAACAAACCATAACTTATACTAACTCCCTTCATGATCCAGTAAAATAACAGGCACATCAGAAAAATTGATATTTTGCCAGTTTTTATTGTCAGAAAAGAGGGGAGCAACTGTGGGTATGGGTTCTAAGGCTGTTTAACCAATAAGGGTAAAATATACAAAGAGACCAAATACAATATATGAATGGATCAAATTCATTGACATTGTGCAGTACTAGAGAGTCTGGATTTACTGTGTTAGCTCATGAAGAGGGAGGAGGTGGCTCTAACAACCTGTGTGTTAAGTTGACTGTGGAGTAATTGGTGACTTTTTAGTTAATGAGGCGGAGATGCCAGAGTTAGTCTTGCATGGTGTACAAGACAGTTGTGGGGCTTAGGGACAGAAATATTGGCTGAATTTATCATGTGTGAGAAGTACATCTGTACATGCATTAATGTTATATCTTATATGTATTTTACAATGTTGACATTTGGAGGCCCACAGACCTGGAAGAGACTGCCCTTCCCAGGGCTGGTTAATTCTAAAAGATAATAATAAATATGCCCAACCACCTAAATTTTTCATGTGCAAACCAATTCAAAACCATACCACCGTCTACCTCCTTTATCTGACTCTCACAAAAGCCAGTATGTCCCCTAAATCAACTCAGGATGAAGTCCCAAAAATTTAAGGACCACCCCTATGCCCCAAAGCCCGCCAGAATTCTTCAAACTCAACCATCTTATATGCAACGCTGACTCGCCTTTCTCAAGGAAACTGCTAGGAAGTTTCAGGCCCTCTTTACCAGACCTCCCTTTCTTTGAGTCTGTCAGACATAATTAGCTGTTGTTTCTCTGAGCCTCTATTCTCAGGACTGAAGAGATTATTAGAAGTATTCCCCACCCAGGTGTTTTCAAATGTACACAAACAGGACACACCAGACCAGAGCACCTGGACACGGAACACAAAGGTAACAGCAAACTGAAATTGCACAATCAGCCTGAAACCTCCTCATTTACTAAAACTTATCACCACGACTACCCAGTTACGAGGTCTCCTCCCCCTTAGGGCAGGTGCATTTCTCTGCACCTAGAGCTCTCCCTCTCTTGGGAAAGTCAAAAAAATTAAGCTTTGCTCTCTGGGTTTTCTTCTCTTTGTGAATTCTTTCACAGCCTGCATTACCAGCCGCCCTAACACAAAGGATTGTGCCCACTCTCTCCTCACTCCTTTATGCCTTCCAAGCAACCTGTGCTTTGCCATGTGGCCGTGTGTGGCACAGCGGGTCGCTGCTCTTGGGAACTGTAACTAATGAAAACTTCTTACACATTAAACTCTCCATGTCACCATGCAGTCACCTCTGTAAATGAAAACTCCATGGGTATAATTGAGATAATTTGTGTAGGGAGTTGGGTGACGCTGCTGGACAGAAGAGCATGCCTCCCTGATTGCTCTTGGCTGCCTAAGTGGATTCATTAAACAGCCTGCAAGGCTGGGGAAGGCACAGCTGGCTGTTAGCCTTCTTACACTTTGGCTGCCATTTCTTTATTCTGTGAATATGTACGCTGCCATTGAACTCCAAATCAAGTATAAGATCTCCAAAGATATGCCTTTATGGCTACCTTCATTTAGTTTTTGTTGCTGAAATCTTCTAGGATATACAGTTGGATCCCTGGGTGCCATTTGATTCTCTATTCCAACATACCCAGAGGGCATGACTAAGATAATTGGATAACATACAAGGGAAATTTTTAGGAGTGAGAAACTTTCCCTCAATAAGAAAGTTTTGTGACTTGACCCAACAACACTGAAGTTAGTGTGGGCTAACCCATTTTCATCCAACTCTTGTAAGCAAAATCATACATTGATTCACAGAGATGTCTCTGGCATAACTGTGTTACTAGAAGGAAACCGGACTGCAGCAGGTCTGCCTAGGGCCAGCCTGTAGCGTATAGGCTCTTGACTGCGCAGGCAACATTTCAGCTGGTAATTTTGTGTCTATGTTTACTAAAGCTGAAGACAGTGAAAGAAGGAAAAGCTTAGGATAAAAGAAGCAACAGGAGAGAAACTTGGGGGGGCTACTATGCCTCTCTAGAAACCTTATAGGAAATAAGTGAGCCAAGGAGGGGCTGACACCAGCTTACTGGGGAGTCAGATAAAACGGGACCGTGATGAAAGATTCAGGGGGTCAGTCTGGGGACAAGCTGCTACTGTCCATTGCTGTCCTGGTTTCCAGTCTTTTGGGGACCCTCAGACTTTAAAAGGTGCATGTCTCTGGGGAAAAAGGAGGAGAAAGAGAAAGGTGTGGGTTTTCTCTGGGAAAGCAGAGCGTGCACTGGAACCTTCATTTTGAGGGTTTTAATGGCTGGACATCTAGGGGAAATTTTAGGAGTGGATCTTAATAAAATATTCATCAGCTTTATGCTGATGTGCCAAAATGAGATTTATTCCCTTAACTTAATCTGTACTTAGGTGTGGTTGGCAGGAGTGCTACTAATTGTCAACCACTTACACTTTTTTTTTCTTTGGTAAACCACTTACTCCTGTGTCCTTGGTAGTAGAAGATAGGATTTTGTGACTAACTAAATGGCTGTAATCACTTTGGCCATTTAATTATGTTTCTGTTCCATTTGTCCTGGCTTTCTGGCCTGTCTCAACCTCATGTTCAGTGGTATCATTTTGGCAGTCAGAAATTGATCACAGTGAGAGTATTTACACCAGAGAAATGGACAAATATTACTAACCTAGACTTGACTTAATGTATTATTGAATGTTTAAAGAAATTGGTAGGGAATATGGGGGTTTTTTTGGGGGGGTGGGTGGAATATATCTTTTTCCATTACCATTTATCCCTATTTTACCCCCCAGTAGAGAATGTTAACAATGCAGATTAAATTTACAAGTGTACGGTAACAGTAGGCTTTAAATTGTATGTAAAAAATTGAGGAAAAAACTCTTTATCTAGTATTCAAATATAATTGTTCCATATGTCAAAGAAGTCACTTGGGTCACTGAGGAATGACTAAAATTCTAACATATGTCTTTGTTGCTGCACCGTCTATTGGTTAAAATAATTTGTAAAAAGAAAATAAGCAAAAGATTCTGAACATTTTACCAAAGGAAATAAAGAGATGGTAATTGAATGTAGGAATGAGTGGCCACCATATGGGTTCTTAGAAAAATGGAATTAAAACCAAAGTGAGTTAGCACTACGGTAATTTACAGGACTAATATTTACAAAGATTAATCATAGCAAGTGCTGGCAAGGTTGCAGAAGAACTGGAATTTTCATACGCTGTGGGTGGGTGGTAAAGCAAAGGGAACGATCATTTTAGATCATAGTTCTGCATTTCTGAACGTGTAAAACATTCTCCAACACTGTAACAGTTTGGAAATAAAACATATCAATATAACGAACTGAATGCAAATATTCGTAACAGCTTTATTTGTAATACTCCAAACCTGGAAATAACCCAAACCATAAGCAGACCAATGGATAAACAGAGTGGTTATCCATCAAACAGAATAATACTTAGCAATAAAAAGAATAAACTATTCACATATGCATTATTGTTGAATCTTCAAATAACTGTGCAGCATGAAAGAAACCAGTATTTTTTAACATGTATACACCTTATAATGCCTATTATAGAAAATATGAACTAACCTATGGTAAAGAAAGATAAATCAATGATTGCCTGGAGGGCTGGGGGAAGCAGAGAAGATTATAAAAAAGCAGGAGGAAGCCCTGGCTGGTGTGGCTCAGTGGACTGAGCACCTGCCTATGAACCGAAAGGTCATCAGTTTGATTCCCAGTCAGGGCATATGTCTGGGTTGTGGGCCAGGTTCCCAGTAGGGGCAAGTAAGAGGCAACCACACAGTGATGTTTCTCTCTCTCTCTCTCTCCCTCCCTTCCCCTCTCTTTAAGAATAAATAAATAAAATTTTAAGGAAAAAAAAAGGAGATAGAGGGTGGGGCAAATGAAGGTTCACAGTTGTTTGTATGGAAAATAATACAACAGTTAATTAATGATAATACGAGACTAAAATTTGTGTTTTGCAGACTAACAACTGTAAGCCTAAATTTTCTCCACCCTGTATATGGGTGACAGGTAAGTTCATTTCAGTATGACAGTGTCATAGCTTTATACGTATACCAGAGCTCACCAAACAATCCACATCAGGTAAGTGCACTTTGTCATATGTCAATCATAAAGGAACCTGAATAAAGCTTTAAAAAGTGGTTCTTAATAAAGATCTAGACATCTCTGTTTTGTAGAAAGTCAGGTTGGCAACACTGTATAGATTTTACCATCTCTCTCCTCATGTCCTAGGAGGGGCAGCCTTGCCTCAGCAGCAGCAAATGCTGGCAAACAGTGAAGACTCTTGGCATCAAATCAACAGTAATGCTGACTGGGTCATAATAGACACATCCTGAGAATGACAAGATCATCCTTCTACTTTTTCTTTTCTGTAGAGCAACAACCTTGAGGTGAACACCAAGAGAGGCCAGAAGAATCCACAAAGGCATTACATTATTTTCTCTGCCAGTGACTTCAGCTATAGGAAACAGTTATGGGGGCCCAAGAATGTTTTTACACACAGATTACACAAGCCATAGTCCCTGAAGCATTCATGGATGAACGTTCAAAAGAGGCACCTTTCATCTAATTTATTGCAGTCTCTTCCACTCATTATTAATACGGTGTTTCGGTCCCAATTGTAGTTCCACATAACCTGCAGAGTTTTACAATAAATGATACCAGCCTATAAAATTTTGTACATTATGGCACATGGGACCTTTGCAAAACCTGTGGAGGATGTCCCCTCAACATAGCTGGGAATTATATAAAAGTAAAAAAAGGAATAAAATTCATGTTGCTCATAGAAACACAACAGGATGCTTCTTCTTCAGGGTGACCTTTGACCTCCCCAATAGTCAGGGAACAAGGCTGCAAATTCTGACCACAAAGCCATGCAGTATTTTTTTTCAAGGCCTTGGGCACCAATGCAAAATAAACCAATACTGAACAAAGAGCAATTTTCTTCCATCATTCTGTCCCTTCCAAAGCATAGGAAATTTGTGATCCCCACAAAATCTGTTCACTCCTACATGCTGACAGATCACAATTCTGCTTTCAAATCATCCCATGCACTAAATAGATACACCAAAGTTAGAGGCACAATAGCAAAAAGACCACTGGAATAAGACCATATACCAGAGCAGCGTACAGCAAGCAGTTGGTGAAAGAGAACCTGTAAAACTTTATCACAGCATATGAGAACAATGTGGTGAAACAGATAGTCCTTCTTAGCTGAGGATAGGTTTTCTGAGACAAAACAGAGTCAGCTTCATTCCCCAGTCAGAGAAGAGGGAATGAGGATCCTGCCAAGAGCTCAGAGAATTGATCATTTTTTCAAGAAAAAGGGACAACAGAGGTCGGCTTCCCTGAACACATTGTGCAGGTGGGACAGGTGGTAGTAGTGAAATGACTTCAGCCCCAAAAACTGACATCAATCTCTGGTAATACCCCTGGGCAGGTTAGAAAGTGGAAAGCAGCTTCTTAAAGACATGCTTGTACCTGAAACTTATGAGGAATCTAGCATGGTATATGTTCTGTTAAAAGGGCTTAAAAAGGCATAAAAAAGGTAAAAGGATCTCAAAGGAGGATCCCTCCTGTGTTGATATACAGAGTGAGGAAATAAAACATTCACAGCACATTTAATGCTTTTCTCCAGTGTGAACTCTCTGGTGTTTAGGGAGGTGAGATTTATGGCTAAGATATTTCCCACTTTTGCTACACTCATAAGGCTTTTCCCCAGAATGAACTTGATGGTGTGGAGTAATATGGTAGCATTGTCTAAAAGATTTCCCACATTGACAACACTCATATGGCTTTTCTACAGTATGAACTCTCTGGTAATTAATGAGGTTAGATTTGTAGCTAAAGCATTTCCCACTATCACTGCACTCTTAAGGCTTTCCTCCAGCATGAATTCTCTGGTGTTGAATGAGGATGATTTTTTAGCTAAAGTATTTACCATAACCACTACAGTCATACGGTCTTTTCTACATTGTGAACTCTCTGATGTTTAATGAGGTTAAATTTGCGGCTAAAACATTTTCCACAAGCACTGCACTCATAAGGCTTTTCTCCACTGTGGACTCTCTGGTGTTCAATGAGCTTAGAGTTCTGTCTGAAGGATTTCCCACAATCTCTACATTCATATGGCTTTTCCCCAGTGTGAATTCTCTGATGTTGAACAAGGTTAAATTTGCGGCAAAACCATTTTGCACAAACACTACACTCATACCGCTTTTCTCCAGTGTGTATTCTCTGGTGTTCAATGAGGGCAGAGCTTTGTCTGAAGGACTTCCCACAATCACTACATTCATACGGTTTTTCTCCAGTATGAATTCTCTGGTGATTAATAAGGATATATTTATACCTAAAACATTTCCCACAAACACTGCACTCATTTGGCTTTTCTCCAGTGTGACCTCTCTGATGTTGAATGAGATTAGAGCTTTGGCTGAAGGACTTCCCACAATCTCTACACTCATATGGCTTTTCTCCAGTGTGAACACTCTGATGTCGAATAAGGAAAAATTTACGGTTAAAGCATTTCCCACAAACACTGCACTCATATGGCTTTTCTACCCGGTGAGCTCTCCCACACTGAATAAGGTTAAAGAGCTTTCTATAGGCTTTCCCACATTTGCTACACTCATAAAACCATTCTCCAGAGCAGACGCCCTGACGTTGAACAAGTTTGTGGTTGTGGCTGGCAGCTTTTTCACATTCACCCCACTGGTGATGACTTTTTCCACCGAGAAAGGCCTGCCCGCCATTGTGGGGTTCCTCACTGTAAGGAGTGGCCTGGTGCTGGAGAAGGCCCGAGATGGCTGGGAAGTCCTTCCCAACCACCCTACTGGTGAGAGGCGCCTCTGATACATGACACCTGCCTCTGGTCACAAACGAGGCCCTGTCCGTGTCTCCTTTCCAGAGTTTCTCTGCACTCACAGGCCTCTGCTGCTGGTGAAGGTCTGCACTGAAACAGAAGCCTCTCACACATGCACCACTGAAGAATGCTTTCTGCTGAAGGTACGCTGCTTGGAACTGAGTCAGATGCAAAATAGTTTTCAAGATTGAGACACAGTGCTCACAGGGATGGGTCTTCTGGGGTGCAGGAGCTGTCTTAGAAGCCCCAACCTGTGACTCTCCTTCTACAGATACACTCTGCTCAGAAGGGGCCTCCTCATCTTCCTTTTTATGCCAACAACCTGAAAGCAGAGAAATGCTGAGGAAATGAATGTCAATATTGGTGGGAGAGGAAAGTCCAATTACAAAGATGTCAGATACAATACATTGGTTCCATGGGACTATCTGAAAGTAAGGGACCTGGAGGCAGGTTGAATACGGTGTTGCTGTGCAGTACTGAACCACCAAGATCACAAAATAGGGGAGGCCTCACCACAAAAAGGACACAAAGATGACAAGTACTACATGGAAGAGAAGTATCTCTAACTCATCTGCTGCTAACAGCGTTTGTCAGGGCTTGTGTGCTGGTGACATGGGCAGGCTGTGTAGGAGGTTGGTTATGTTTATTTTCCAGTTAAATTAAATGAATGAGAGATTGGTGTCTGGGGACTATGAAGGATGTATGTATACCTCATAACACATGCACAGGACAATACTGGATAATACTGCAGAGGGGGCTGTGCAGAGAAACAGGTGATGCATGGAGGCCACAGACATGAAGAAAATAAGGAGTTGGGATATCACAGATGAAATGACAAGTCAATAAAGTGTTATGGATGACATAGAAAGGAAAAAATAGGTGTGGCCAGTGGCATTAGCAACGAAATACTATTGGACACCAGCCACGTTCCTGGTATGATCTGAACACAGCTCTTATCTCATGCCCTCTCCACAGCTGACATAACGAGGGCCAGGCCTCCCCTGAGACCATTTTTCCATGTCTACCCTGTGAAAAAACCAGGGTTCTCCCTTTATACTCCAATGTACTCAGAATGTGAATGATTCGAGTTTTAATGAAAGACAATGGTGGCGAGCAGCCAGCACTAACCCAGAGCAACTCAGCATATAATACTATTTAGGGAAGACAATATTACAAAGAAAGACTTAAAGAGAATCTTACGAGAACAGTCCACAGCTCATGTAAGTAATGCCCATGACCTGGCACAAGCAGTAACAATGAATGGTTAGTTACAGGAAGCGGGCAGAACTGGAAGTCATGGATCTGGGCATAGTCACCCTGCCAGAGAGAAGGCAAGCAAGGTGGGATCCATGAAGCTGTCTGTGAGACTCCTGACTCCCAGACACTTCCCTGCACTCTTTGAGGCAACACATGTTAGAACTGCTCAGGAAGTTCATGGCTCAGGACATTCCACACAGCCCGTACTAGCAGCCACAGCACAGTCGACAACAGAGTGGTAGAAATTAGCAGAGCCCATGATCTGGTTGTGGGAAAGGCAATGCTACCTATGGAGAAAATAGGAAAGGCAGGATATCACCTCAGGACATGAGGAAAGATGTGAAGGTCTTACCCACAGATGCTACAAGTGCAAAGATCTCCAGCATCACATCGCAGTGCAGAAGTCTCTGAGCCTCATTAAGGAGCCTCCACTCCTCCTGGGAGAAGGCGATGGCCACATCCTCAAACTTCATTTCCTGTCAGAATGAAGAGAGTTCATTCCATGATCAGCTTCTCTCCTAGTATTCCAAGTCTGTCCTACTCCCCACCCTCCACATTTATCGGCTCACTTGAGTCACCACATCAGAGCAGATACCAGGTCTTGGTGCCATAGTTGGCACTGTCTCCAGATACCCCCACTGATACTGTGTCTTCCCACAACAGGCTGATGGGCGGATAGACAATACCTGAGCTCTGAGCCTGGCACATAGGCCATGCTGCCTCTTGTCAGTACAGTGGGTGTCACAATCACAGGTAGGAAGAGAAGTTGGCCATTGAGATGGTGTGAATCATTTGACACCGGTCTTCTCAGGCAATTACCACTGTGGTCTCCCAGATTATCCCTCTAAGACATGAAAAATAAGGCATCCCGTTCAACCTATGACCTCCACCGCAGGGGCCTGTGGCCTTCAGTTTATGCTACTCTCTGCACATCCGTTTTTTAATCACCCCTCTCACACAGCTACCTTCTCAGAAGGACAGCCTGAAATGTACCACAGTCCTACCACGACAGACACTATTCCCTGATTAGCTTCTTTCCCAGGATTCTAATTTCACCACCTCCATAATCTATCTCCTGCTTACCTTTCCCCCTTCCCCATGGCACCGGAGGTTTTCAAGCCCAGCAACACTGACGTCTGCTTTTTCATCAAAGTCCCATTAATCACTGTATCAGCCCTCAACAACAATAAGCAAGTGGGCAAATAAATGGAATCTAATCTCTGGACCTGGCATGAAGCACCACCATACCTCCTCTTTTCAGGAAATTCTGATGTTCCCCATATCTGTCTCTTCCAGAATCCACCAGACATGGGCTGACCCTTCATTCACTCTTACGTCACTGCAAGGGCCCAGAGGCCATAAGTTCACACTCCCCCTCCAAGTGCACCTTACTCTTCCTACCACACCTCTCTCTTATACCTGCACTCCCACAGCCCGGGCCTCCTCCTGCCCTGCCTCACAGTCATTACCTTGGCCTCTACTCAGTACTCAGCATATGTGGTCCAGAGCACACATGGTAAATTGAAACAGGATCAAGTACTACCCAGACTCTGATGGTCCCCACTGACAGGGGCTGCCTTGAATCCTACTGTGAAGGCTTCCCTCCCTGACAGTTCCTTGCTTCAACCTCACAGACTGAGAACCACATCAGATTTCAGATATGCACAGCTCTCCTCCTCCTCCACTAGTGCTGCACCTGATGTCCGTCCACCAGTCTCAGCCTTCTCCTCACACTCATACTCACTGAAGGACCAGCCCCAGTGGTGCTCCATCCTATGCCCAGTGAGTCTCACAGATGACCACTTATGCCCCTAAGCTAATCCACCAGCTTGACTGGGACACCCCAGGCCACACCAAGAGTCACAACAAAGTCCTGGTGAGTCTTTAGAGCAGTGAATATACACCAGCTTGTCTCCTCTTGTATGAATTACTCTTGGGCTTTTAATCTGTCTCACATCCATGCATCCCTTATGGTCCTTGGCCACTTGGCACACCATACTCTCCTCCTACATGACCTCCTACCTGACAACTAGTGTCCCTAAGCTGTGTTGTGACATCTACTTGGCACAACCAGGGTCCCCAGCAGGAAACTCAGTCTTCATTCCCACCCTCTTCTTACTAGGCTATTACTACCAGTATCATCCTGACCATGATGCACATTTAACACTGACCTACAGCTCCTCCCTGGTCCATACACTCTCCACTATCTTTTGGAGAAGTCTCCATTCTGAACTCCTTCTCAGAGTTCCAGATGCCCATGAATTACTCTTTGAAACAATTCATACCATTAACAGGCCAAAATAAAATTGATGTTCCTAGTGAAAATCACTCATACTACTGTGGATTTCACGATTTCAGTTGATGGGACCAAAACTCCTCAACTTGTCATCATCCCCGACGCTTACCTCTTTTTCTCTCTCTCTCCCTCCCTCTCTCTCTCTCTCAACATCCCAATGTGAAAATTCAGGTGGTGACCTGGTCCAGTTGCTCAGTAGGTTGGAGTGTCCTCACAATATTCCATGGTTGCGTGTTCAGTTCCTTGTCATGGCACATGTGAGAATCAAACAATGAATATATCAATAAGCTGAATTACAAATCAATGTCTATCTCCTTCTATGGTGTCTGTGTCCATCTATTACTCTTCTTCTATCTCTAAAATGAATAAAATTGTTTAAAAAAGAAAGAAAATCCAGGCAGCCACACCTAAAACCACCATCCAGAATCCACTGCTTCTTCCACCTCAAGGGCTCCCTTCTGGTCCTTCACACTCACCCAGATTATACAAACAGCCGTTCTACCAATCCCTCACACCCACTCTTCTCTATGCTGCAGCCACAGCAAGCCTACTGAGACCTGAGTCAGATCTCCTGCCTCCACTGCTTTACATCTCCATTGCTTCCATCACCTGCAGAATAGAGAGCCAACTTGTCACAGAGCTGCTCTAGACATGACTCCTGTCCCATTGTTCCCAGTTTCTATAACAATGAAAGGATACCTGCAGGTGCTGCACCAATTAAGCCTCCCTCCAAGCCCTTGCACATTCTGGTACCTATGCCTGGGAGGACCTCCCACATCTCATTCCAACGGTTGCCAAACACGGGAACCACTTCACATAACCCTATACCTGGACCTAGAACCCTGGGCTTGGGTCTGTTCAGGGTCCCCGGGAGCAAAGGCTGGAACAGTGGCACCACAGTCCCAGGACACCTCCCTCTCACAGACCAGAAGAGTGGGAGGCCCTGAAACAAGCCCCACAAACCAGGACCCTAAGTGACTCTGCAGAGTCTGCGGAGAGAGAAAGGTCTGCCGAGAGCCTGGCCACCTCCGCCAGGACCCACCGACTCAGGCCGCTAAGTGCCCTCGCCCGGCCCGGGACCCGGTGCCCTCGAGGTGCCCGCGCCACCTCAGGGCCGCCGCCCCCCGTGCAGACTCTGCCAGTCCCCTCACCTTCCACAGGACGCACCTTCCGGTTCCCACCCGCCGTCGCCTCTTCTGGTCTCTCCTGCCTCGGAGCGGTGTTGGGAAAACGTTACAACCCGATCTCAGACAATGTCCCTGTTTTGTTCATAATCCTCCACGGCCCCCGCGTCCGGAGAATGGAAGTAAAACTCACGCACAACTTCGCCTCCGCTTCTCCGTCGCCTTTACACACAACACGGGGCGCGGGTTTTTGGAATCCCCCCGGCTCAGCCGACCCGGCGCGTCTCCGCACGGCGGCCCCTCAGCCCGTCACCCTCTCCCACCCCGTCGCACCGTGTCCCCCGCGAGCGCCTCACGTCCCGGACGCCGGGGCCTGGGCTGCCGCACCTGACGGGCGCCGGGCCGGGGGCTGCAGGGCTGAGGAGGGGGGGCCCGGGGGACGCGCCCTCCCCTCAGCGCGGCAGCCGGCGCCGGACTCCGTGGGCGGCGCGGAGCCTGCGAGGCTGGGAGGCCCCGATCCAGCCCTTTGCGGGTCAAGCTTCGGACGCACCCTTGCGCAGCGGGGACCACTCCTCTGGCGCCTCCTCTGGGGCGACCTGGCCTCTGAAGACTCTCACTCGGCGAACCCAGGAGAGGCCAAACTGACCGTGTGTCACGCACTAACCGCAAGCTAAGTTCGGCAGTGCCAGTTCGGGGCCATTCACGGACTCAACCCCGCCGTCGCTGGGCGCGTTGCGCTCTGGGTAATGTAGTTTCCTCCGCCGTTCAAGGCGGTGAGCCTCCCAGCCGCACTTTGGGGATGAAAGGGGTTGAGGCTGTAGACCTGGCGCGAGTCGGTTAGGGGGTTAAGGCGTCCTCTCCCATAGGACACCATCCCTGATCGGGGAACATGGGAGAGTCAACCAATGAATGCATAAATAAGTGGAACAAGACATTGTTAATTCTCTTTCTCTCTCTAAAATATATATTTTTTAAAACGTGTTGCCGCCGCACGAATGGCCCTGGGAATTAAGAATTTTAGGTTTTAGGGGCTCTTAGCAGGTTTCTGGGGAGTGTTGTCTTCAGCAGATCCCTTGTTTGGAGACATTATTTCAGACTCAGGGAAACTCAGCTGCTCCCTGAGGCAAAAAAATACTATTTCAATTATTTCCAAAGACTAGAAACCCCTAATCTAACTGGGGTGGGGGTGTTGTTTGTTGAATAGGAGGAAAGGCAACAGGAAGAGCATCCGTGAAACTCAGCATTTCTGTTTCCTGACTCATGTGAATGGAAGAACTTTTAGTCAGATTTAATAGACTCAGTGAACTTGTTCTAATGGTTTCTAAATGATTGTTCTTCGTGTCAGCTTCAAATTTACAGGTGTGATAATGCGGATTGGCACGTCCTCTGACCACACTGTGAGCAACACTAACTTGGACCCTGGGTGGGTAGCTCAGATGGTTAGAGCATCACTGGACACACCAAGCTTGAGAGTTTGATCCCACTTCAGGGCACATACAAGAAGCAACCCATGACTACCTCAATAAGTGGAACAACATATTGATGTTTCCTTCTCTCTCTCTAAAATTAACTTTAAAAAAAAAACCCACTTATTTGGGGTAGAAACCAGATGCCTAACAATGGCCTGGAGACTCTGCAGACAAGGTCCCTGTGTCCTGTCTGTCTCAGTTGCTCCTCTCCACGCTTTCTTTGCTCTGGTCAAACTTCAGAGTAAATTGAAGTGACCACAAATTAGGTGATAGTGGTTGTAGTGCCAATTTTCTAAATAAAATACATACCTCCCTGGAGTGGGTGATGGAAGAGGAGCCAAAGGATGACCACACTCTCTGATAGCATTTTTGTTCTGACGGGGAGTAGGGCAATAGTATCAGCTGAAGGAAAGCTGGGACATCAGTACTGTATTGTTTATTGTGGCCACACCACCATGTGTGGATATTGCTGGGAAGAAGATGGAGGAAGGAAGATGTTTAGCATTGCAGAGAAGGTAGTTAGCCTCAGGCATACTGTCCTACAGAAGACAAAATTGGTGGTTTTCAATGCAAAGTTAGTAAATGGATCTTGATCACAGCACTTTCTGTTTTCTGCTAAAATAACAAGGAAGGCAGGGAAGGTGGATCCAGTGGAGGTAAGCTGTCAACATGGCACTCTTCATTATTTTACCTGAGTTGAAGTCCTCTCATTATACAAATGC